TGTTATATTTACCTGTGAGATGTCTGATAGAGGTATAGAATGTTATATTTACCTGTGAGATGTCTGACAGGGGTATAGAATGTTATATTTACCTGTGAGATGTCTGACAGGGGTATAGAATGTTATATTTACCTGTGAGATGTCTGACAGGGGTATAGAATGTTATATTTACCTGTGAGATGTCTGACAGGGGTATAGAATGTTATATTTACCTGTGAGATGTCTGACAGGGGTATAGAATGTTATATTTACCTGTGAGATGTCTGTCAGGGGTATAGAATGTTATATTTACCTGTGAGATGTCTGACAGGGGTATAGAATGTTATATTTACCTGTGAGATGTCTGACAGGGGTATAGAATGTTATATTTACCTGTGAGATGTCTGGGGGGTATAGAATGTTATATTTACCTGTGAGATGTCTGACATATTTATATTTACCTGTGAGATGTCTGACAGGGATATAGAATGTTATATTTACCTGTGAGATGTCTGACAGGGGTATAGAATGTTATATTTACCTGTGAGATGTCTGACAGGGGTATAGAATGTTATATTTACCTGTGAGATGTCTGACAGGGGTATAGAATGTTATATTTACCTGTTATATGTCAGGCAGGGGTATAGAATGTTATATTTACCTGTGAGATGTCTGACAGGGATATAGAATGTTATATTTACCTGTGAGATGTCTGACAGGGGTATAGAATGTTATAATTACGTGTGAGATGTCTTACAGGTATATAGAATGTTATATTTACCTGTGAGATGTCTGGCAGGGGTATAGAATGTTATATTTACCTTTGAGATATCTGACAGGGGTATAGAATGTTATATTTACCTGTTATATGTCAGGCAGGGGTATAGAATGTTATATTTACCTGTGAGATGTCTGACAGGGATATAGAATGTTATATTTACCTGTGAGATGTCTGACAGGGGTATAGAATGTTATATTTACCTGTGAGATGTCTGACAGGGGTATAGAATGTTATATTTACCTGTGAGATGTCTGACAGGGGGATAGAATGTTATATTTACCTGTGAGATGTCTGACAGGGGTATAGAATGTTATATTTACCTGTTAGATGTCTGACAGGGGTATAGACTGTTATATTTACCTGTGAGATGTCTGACAGGGGTATAGAATGTTATATTTACCTGTGAGATGTCTGACAGGGGTATAGAATGTTATATTTACCTGTGAGATGTCTGACAGGGGTATAGAATGTTATATTTACCTGTGAGATGTCTGACAGGGGTATAGAATGTTATATTTACCTGTGAGATGTCTGACAGGGGTATAGAATGTTATATTTACCTGTGAGATGTCTGACAGGGATATAGAATATTATATTTACCTGTGAGATGTCTGACAGGGGTATAGAATGTTATATTTACCTGTGAGATGTCTGACAGGGATATAGAATGTTATATTTACCTGTTATATGTCAGGCAGGGATATAGAATGTTATATTTACCTGTTATATGTCTGACAGGGGTATAGAATGTTATATTTACCTGTTATATGTCAGGCAGGGGTATAGAATGTTATATTTACCTGTGAGATGTCTGACAGGGGTATAGAATGTTATATTTACCTGTTATATGTCAGGCAGGGGTATAGAATGTTATATTTACCTGTGAGATGTCTGACAGGGGTATAGAATGTTATATTTACCTGTGAGATGTCTGACAGGGGTATAGAATGTTATATTTACCTGTGAGATGTCTGACAGGGATATAGAATGTTATATTTACCTGTGAGATGTCTGACAGGGGTATAGAATGTTATATTTACCTGTGAGATGTCTGACAGGGGTATAGAATGTTATATTTACCTGTGATAGGCCTTACATGACACGTAAATAGATTAATATTTTAATCACCATTTAGATGCCTGGAAACATGCAGAATCTGTGGATGTGACACCTAACCTACACAGATTCTGCATGTTTCGATGTAACATCATAATTAAGACCTGTTTTGACTGATCAGCATGTCTGAAAATGACAGTCATTACCCCTAAAGATTGGGTGATGTGAACTGATGTGTATAAGGTACATATGGAAGTATATTTACCCCTATAAGTCGGAAGGCATGTACTGTAGAGTTTAGTGGTATATTTACCCCTATAAGTCGGAAGGCATGTACTGTAGGGTTTAGTGGTATATTTACCCCTATAAGTCAGAAGGCATGTACTGTAGAGTTTAGTGGTATATTTACCCCTATAAGTCGGAAGGCATGTACTGTAGGGTTTAGTGGTATATTTACCCCTATAAGTTGGAAGGCATGTACTGTAGAGTTTAGTGGTATATTTACCCCTGTATGTAGGGTTTAGTAGTACATATGGTATTTAGTGAGATGTCTGACAGGGGTTAGAATGTTATATTTACCCCTATAAGAAGGCATGTACTGTAGGGTTTAGTGGTATATTTACCCCTATAAGTCAGAAGGCATGTACTGTAGAGTTTAGTGGTATATTTACACCTATAAGTCAGAAGGCATGTACTGTAGGGTTTAGTGGTATATTTACCCCTATAAGTCGGAAGGCATGTACTGTAGGGTTTAGTGGTATATTTACCCCTGTAAGTCGGAAGGCATGTACTGTAGGGTTTAGTGGTATATTTACCCCTATAAGTTGGAAGGCATGTACTGTAGAGTTTAGTGGTATATTTACCCCTATAAGTTGGAAGGCATGTACTGTAGAGTTTAGTGGTATATTTACCCCTATAAGTCGGAAGGCATGTACTGTAGGGTTTAGTGGTATATTTACCCCTATAAGTTGGAAGGCATGTACAGGTCAGGAGACGTGCTGTTGTGTTTAAGGTACATATAAGGGTATATTGGACCCTAAAGGTCAGGGAAAGACAAATGCTTATGTTACTGAATGGTTTGGAGATGGCAATTCAGTGTGATAGCACTATACTACATCGTTTCATTAAGCTTCCTTGAAAGGACAGTTTCCATGGAACCATAGTAAAACACAGATAAATAATCTTGTTCAATCTTGTACATAGGTTTGGTGTTTTACTTACAAAAACATGATGTCATTATTATTGAGAGAATGAGATTGTGCCGTGATTGAAACAGTCAGGCTTCATTTCCTTTCCTTTAATCCAGTAATTGTTTTAATAACCTTATATATTATTTTAGAGGTATTTATTTGGGACAACTGACATTATTTATGTTATTCTTAACTTTACAATCTGCTTTCAGTTTTGTAAGGAAATCAATAAATGTCAAATAAAGCTCTCTGATTTGTTTCTTCAGACTAAATGCAAAGAACAGGCATTTAATAATGGTAAATTACATAAAGCCTCATTGCTCATCTATTGTTTTATTAAAAAAAAAGGCCAGTAACAAAAATTGCGGTGGAAAATGTTCTCGCCATTTGAGAGCCCCGATGGTGTTAATTTCTGATCAAATTTCTGTGCTTCGTCCATCAAAACTTCATGAGTAAGATCATTAGGAGTATAAGTTGTGTTTGCTATATTTGGAATGCAGCAAGATTTTCAAAAGTGCCAGCTGCAGCATCCATTTAAGATTTTGACTCTTGGAGTTTGTTAGACTTTTTACTCTCAAGACTTGCATGAGGGATCTCCTATTCAGTGTAAGTTTTAGTTGCACCTGTCAAATTTTGAGATTCATTGAATTTTCAAGATTGCTGACCATTTTAATTTTGAATTCACTCGATATCACTCCCGATGTGACAGATAGCAAAGAGAAAAGAACAGACAGGATGTAATAGAACCAATAAAGATCTTCTGATTATAAAGATCCCTGACTAATAAAGATCATCTGATTATAAAGATCCCTGACTAATAAAGATCTTCTGATTGTCAAGATCCCTGACTAATAAAGATCTTCTGATTGTCAAGATCCCTGACCAGTAAAGATCTGCTGATTGTCAAGATCCCTGACTAATAAAGATCTTCTGATTGTCAAGATCCCTGACCAGTAAAGATCTTCTGATTGTCAAGATCCCTGACCAATAAAGATCTTCTGATTGTCAAGATCCCTGACCAATAAAGATCATCTAATTGTCAAGATCCCTGACCAATAAAGATCTTCTGATTGTCAAGATCCCTGACCAATAAAGATCTTCTGATTGTCAAGATCCCTGACCAATAAAGATCTTCTGATTGTCGAGATCCCTGACCAATAAAGATCATCTAATTGTCAAGATCCCTGACCAATAAAGATCATCTAATTGTCAAGATCCCTGACCAATAAAGATCTTCTGATTGTCAAGATTCCTGACCAGTAAAGATCTTCTGATTGTCAAGATTCCTGACCAGTAAAGATCTTCTGATTGTCAAGATCCCTGACCAGTAAAGATCTTCTGATTGTCAAGATCCCTGACCAATAAAGATCATCTAATTGTCAAGATTCCTGACCAGTAAAGATCATCTGATTGTCAAGATTCCTGACCAATAAAGATCATCTGATTGTCAAGATTCCTGACCAGTAAAGATCTTCTGATTGTCAAGATCCCTGACCAATAAAGATCTTCTGATTGTCAAGATCCCTGACCAATAAAGATCATCTAATTGTCAAGATCTCTGACCAATAAAGATCATCTAATTGTCAAGATCCCTCAAAGATGATAGTAGAAATCTGTTGTGCATTCAAAATGTACCTTAGTATGTTACATTTTGATAGACCCACTAGGATCAGAGGGCAGGGCCAGTTGAAAGGCATTCTCCTGTAGGAATGCCAGAATTCTGTCTCAAATTTGGTCAGAAGCATCCTTGAGTGAAAGGTAATCAATACTGTATAAGATTGGTCTCAGACCCTTGGTGGGCCAGATAGTGAAAATAGAGCAAATCTTTCTTCCTCCATATGAATGCCAGAATTGTGTTCCAAAATGTAACTGTTTTGTTAAGTGTGTCCTGGGAGAGTACTGGTCTTTGTGCCTTTCCCAGATACCTGTTTGTTATTTTTGTTACATTGAAATATACCCATATGACTTATTTACATATGTATTTCTGATTGCAGAATGAAGAGTATTTACGTAGTATGTGTGTTGATGGTACTGACAGTAGCTGTATCTGGTGGCAGGAGAAACAGAGGTAATAGTTTTCATCTGTCCAACACTGTGATCAGACATGTTTATTGTACTCTACACAAGGTAGAAAGATTACACTTTACCAGTGTTATTACACCCTTCAATTAACTACCTCTTATCAGTGAATAAACATCATCAATTAACCACCCTTTTATCAGTCTTATAACACCCATTACATAACTACCCTATTTTCAGTGTTATAACACCCATTACATAACTACCCTATTTTCAGTGTTATAACACCCATTACATAACTACCCTATTTTCAGTGTTATAACATCCATTACATAACTTCCCTAATATCAGTGTTATAACATCCATTACATAACTTCCCTAATATCAGTGTTATAACATCCATTACATAACTTCACTAAGTAAGACAGTAAATCTGGGCCACCTGCTGTGGAAGCGGTGGGGCTCAATAGAGGAAATAGAGCATATTCTTTCAAGTCCTACTCTTCCTGTAGGAATTATTTGATTTTCCCCACATGAGGTCTGAAGCATTCATGAGTAAAAGGGAATCAATTTTGTATAAACAGTGGGTTTTGCTTTCCTGGGGCAGGGCCCAATACAGGAAATAGAGAAAATTCTTTAAAATCCTCCTCCTGTAGGAGTGATTGGATTTTGCCCAAATTTGGTCTTGCTCATTGTTGGTAAATGGGAATCAATTTTGTATAAGCAGTGGATCTCCGCCTCCTGGAGCAGGAGAGGCAGAGTCGAATAGTGGTATTAGAGAAAATTCTCTACATCCTAATATGTACTTCAGTGTAAGGGCCTAAAATTTAAAGCCTAAGGAGAATGCAAGGTGATCAACAAAAAAGTCAAGATTTGGATGGGGAGGTGCTGCAGCCCCACAATTAGATAAATTTCGTAATTTTCATACATCAGATAATTTTATGATAGCATCAAGTACATGTGCATCCTCTGAACCGTGCAACTATTCAAGTGAATTTAATCATGGCAAGCAGGTTATGGCAAACTTCGGGGACTTAAAGTCCACCAGCAGTGTTTGCCACCTGGAAACTCATGCTGGATATCAATCAGAGCCAGCATGTGTTACTTATATATGTATTATACACAATAGATCTAGTTAGATTTTATGTAAACACTGTCATGTAGAATTCTGGAGAGACAGTCTTTAGATATCTTACAGATTGTAGTTGTGATTGGTTAGAGAATTCCACTGATCAATTTAAATTACATATAGCTGTAGAAAATATAAAGAGGGACAATTCACCAGGAAAATGCTAAAAAAATATCATCTTGATAATGTGTGTTTTAAACAAGGGCTGTAACTGTTGTGTTTCTCTGCTAATTGATTATTCTGCTGCTGTATTGAAATATTTAGTTTGAGAAAGAGGAAGAGCAGCAGAGGGTCACATTAGTACTACCAGCACCAACATTCTCTGCCTGTCCTTAAATGTCAGACTACTAAATCTTAGGCTTCTAACAAGTTACCCGCCTTATTCTCTGTTCTCTAATTACTTAATGACACAAGCACACAACATGTTCCTCACATTTATGTCAGTCCCTTTACCCAATAGTTGTCCATAAGTTCTCTATCAGTTACCTGTTTCCATTAGTTAACTATGAATATTAGTTACCATTTATAACCCATTAATTATCATTGATTGCTAAATAGAAAACCAATAATTACCCATTAGTTACCATCAGTGCTCAGTAATTGCCCAACAGTTCCTATTAATTACCCATTAGTTACCAGTAATTACCCATTAGTAAACGTTAATTCATAATTTGTCATAAGCTATTATTGATTACTAATTACACAAAAGCTAACCAATAGTTACCATTAATTACCCATTAACTATCATTGATTACTAAATAGCTAACCAATAGTTACCCACTTCTTACATTAGTTATTCAGTAAATTACCGAGTAGTTACCCATTATTTACACATCAGTGTCCACTAGTTACAGAATAGTTACCATTAATCACTAATTAGTTACCATTTAGTCACACATTATTTACCCATTCAAGTCGAGTTACTCAGTATATAAGTTGGTGTGTTGTAACCAGAACAAGGAACATCCATCAGTCTTGGTATATAAGTTGGCAATTACATGCTTCATACTCTGGCCAAGGTTTATCAGATAATACACTGACTGAGGTGTATCAGATAATACACTGACTGAGGTGTATCAGATAATACACTGACTGAGGTGTATCAGATAATACACTGACTGAGGTGTATCAGATAATACACTGACTGAGGTGTATCAGATAATACACTGACTGAGGTGTATCAGATAATACACTGACTGAGGTGTATCAGATAATACACTGACTGAGGTGTATCAGATAATACACTGGCTCAGGTGTATCAGATAATACACTGGCTGAGGTGTATCAGATAATACACTGACTGAGGTGTATCAGATAATACACTGGCCGAGGTGTATCAGATAATACACTGACTGAGGTGTATCAGATAATACACTGACTGAGGTGTATCAGATAATACACTGACTGAGGTGTATCAGATAATACACTGGCTAAGGTGTATCAGATAATACACTGACTGAGGTGTATCAGATAATACACTGACTGAGGTGTATCAGATAATACACTGGCTAAGGTGTATCAGATAATACACTGACTGAGGTGTATCAGATAATACACTGACTGAGGTGTATCAGATAATACACTGACTGAGGTGTATCAGATAATACACTGACTGAGGTGTATCAGATAATACACTGACTGAGGTGTATCAGATAATACACTGGCCGAGGTGTATCAGATAATACACTGGCCGAGGTGTATCAGATAATACACTGGCCGAGGTGTATCAGATAATACACTGGCCGAGGTGTATCAGATAATACACTGGCCGAGGTGTATCAGATAATACACTGACTGAGGTGTATCAGATAATACACTGGCCGAGGTGTATCTGATAATACACTGACTGAGGTGTATCAGATAATACACTGACTGAGGTGTATCAGATAATACACTGACTGAGGTGTATCAGATAATACACTGACTGAGGTGTATCAGATAATACACTGGCTGAGGTGTATCAGATAATACACTGACTGAGGTGTATCAGATAATACACTGACTGAGGTGTATCAGATAATACACTGACTGAGGTGTATCAGATAATACACTGACTGAGGTGTATCAGATAATACACTGACTGAGGTGTATCAGATAATACACTGGCTCAGGTGTATCAGATAATACACTGGCTGAGGTGTATCAGATAATACACTGACTGAGGTGTATCAGATAATACACTGACTGAGGTGTATCAGATAATACACTGACTGAGGTGTATCAGATAATACACTGACTGAGGTGTATCAGATAATACACTGACTGAGGTGTATCAGATAATACACTGACTGAGGTGTATCAGATAATACACTGGCTGAGGTGTATCAGATAATACACTGACTGAGGTGTATCAGATAATACACTGGCCGAGGTGTATCTGATAATACACTGACTGAGGTCTATCAGATAATACACTGACTGAGGTGTATCAGATAATACACTGGCCGAGGTGTATCAGATAATACACTGGCCGAGGTGTATCAGATAATACACTGGCTGAGGTGTATCAGATAATACACTGACTGAGGTGTATCAGATAATGCACTGGCTAAGGTGTATCAGATAATACACTGACTGAGGTGTATCAGATAATACACTGGCTGAGGTGTATCAGATAATACACTGGTTGAGGTGTATCAGATAATACACTGACTGAGGTGTATCAGATAATACACTGGCTGAGGTGTATCAGATAATACACTGGCTGAGGTGTATCAGATAATACACTGTTTTACTCTTAGCTCATGAGTTACAAATGTGCCCTTTACACTCATAACACAGTTACTCTTGAAATCTGCTCATGAGTTACCATTGGTAGACACCTTATTACTCACATTCTGTTAATGAATTTATCCTTTCTCATATTAAGGTCCTGACTAAATCTTTGTAGTATAATTTAGAATCTTCAAGGAAAAGTAAAAGATTGCAGCTATAATAAGTCATTGTGATGTCAATTTATACATCAGAAATCTTTTGAGATAATTATATGTTCTGTAAATTTACTTGTCTTTCTGGACTTAATTGCAGTCATTATACTTAAATAATGATCATCAATTATGTTATTTCATGGTCTATTTATAAGACATGGTTGTCTTACTATAAGTTTTTGGAAAGCATTTTGATAATAGGCATTCCTATGTCTTCTGCAAAATCTAGTTTTGCAGTATATGAAGATATGTATGTATTCTCAGCTCACCTTTACAGTTGGAATGCTCTTCATGTCACTCTTTGTCTGTGGTCTGTCAACTGTAAACGCTTCTTGTGATTGGCACTGGAAAGGCCATTTCAAATTTCATTTTTATGTTCCTTATGGTACCTAGTTGTGGAAAGTCCATTTTGGGACTGATTGGAAAAGCAACATGGACAACAGGTGGCCATATTTGTTTTTGACAGTCACAGGTTGCTGTAGTTACCTGTGGAGAGGTAGTGGGTGGATCATTCACAGACTCCATATGTAGGTTACCAGGGGATGTAAATCCATTGTGGGACAGATTGGAAAATAAAAATGGCAGACAGGCGGCTGTCTTGATTTTGAACAGGCATTATATAAGACTGAGTTTGTTATCATCCTTCTGGAGAAGTACTGGCTAGATAATTCTCATGTAAGTTCTATTTAGTGACTATATGTGCATTGCCAATTTTAGGATTGGGTATACGAATAAAATGGCTGACAGGCACGCAACTTGGATTTGGACTCTGAATGATTGTTATTGCTATTTGAAAAGCACTGGATGGATCTTTCTCAGTGTTATATGTACTTGTAGCTCCCTTTTGATACATAAATGTGCTGTTTTGATTTTGGGACTTATCAGAAAAAACAAAAGACAGATAGGTTGCTGTCATGGATTTCACAGTGAAAGATTGCCATGGCTATTTCTTGAGAAAAATAGATGGATCTTTCAGAAATTGTATCCCTAGGTTACCCTTACCTCTTTGTTGAGCCTGTTCTATTTTGGAACGGACAAGAAAAACAAAATGGCCAAGAGGCAACCATCTTGGATTTGACTGTGGCAGATTATTTTCGCTATATATATCTTGAAAGTAGTTTTCAAATTCTCTATCCTAAAGAGTAACAACAGAGGAAAGAAGACTTTTAAATGACAAATGAAGATCAAACAATGATAGATGCCAAATTCCCTCTGGGATTTCTTGTATGTTATTGCAATATTAAATTTCTGGAAGAGGGAATGTACTGAAGTATGAATAGAATTTCAGATCTCAATATATATTGTAAAGAGTCTTGTGAAAACGCTTTCTACAGATTGATCAGTGAGTTGTGTTGTACTGCTGAATGAGAGCAAGGGTACTTTTGACTGTTTACTTTGAAAGTGCATGCATACCCCAATCATGATGACCTTTGTCTCTAAGGAGATCTCCTGCCACTACTACAGCTTAGACAATGGAAAGCAATAAAGCAATGGTTATTATAAGCTGATTCCTTATTAAATGGCTCTTATTCATGATTCATGCTCCAGAGCAGGCACTATACACACCACAATCATTTCTTGTAATCTGTGGAGATACTTTACCGCAATGTAAAAAACATTATTTGGAAAATAATTGAATAATTAGATGAGGTAATGTATTTACGGAGTGTCATCAGTGTGTCTGTCGGCGCCCTCCATCATTCTGATGGATTTATTGTTAGTAGGGACTCATTGATTGTCAAAGATTTCCTCTCGTCATCATAATTAGGTAAAAATAAGGACGCCGATATAAACGTGAACCAAATTCACCATGATGATCCATAACAGCAGGCAGAAATGATATTGGATGTCCAAGTGATCTGTCAGAATCTTTCTACTGGCGGTATAATTTGCCTACAACAGATTGTCACTGCAAACACACACATTAGGGACGTATTGATTCTGTACATTGAAATGTCCACAAATAGGGTTAACACTGGCAATTTATTTTTGCGTTGTACATAAGGAAGCATATATTGGTCCCAGGATACCTGCTGGCTAACCCTATGACAGTTATCACCAGAATTTGTGTCTCCAAATATAGAAGCATATTACACCTACTTGTATTTTGTAGTCTCCTGACATGGGGTTTTCTCATTTTCAGCTAAGATCAAATTATCTGCCTTCTTAAAAACAACATAAAACAGAGGCTAATGGGATTTGGTGTGGCTCTCTAGATTCTGCAATATAATGGGAAAAGAAAAGAATGTCAGGATGTAGACATGATTAAGTGTCAAGTATTTATGTGATTCCTCAAGCTTCCTGCTGTGGTTCAAATAGATCAACTTAATTACAAAATGTATGTACATAAGCAGTCTAAAATGACCCTCATTTTGATGACAGACTGGATCAACAGTAGATTAATCCTTGACACTGATCATAATTACATGTTTGATCTTAATCATGTGATATTAAATTTTATTTTCAGTATTAAATTTTATGTATATCTGTAGGTAATATATTTTCTCCAGCTCGAAAATGTACCGGAATAAGAAACTAAAATAAAGATTTGTGGTAACGTGGTTTTACTGTATTCAAAGTAATTACAAACCATGTATGATTTTATTCAGGGTATTTGTTTTCCAGTGCAATTACATTTACTTATCAGCTTATCATAGAAGTACTGAATGAATTGACAGGTTACAAACAAATAGCCAGATTTTGGCTAAATTCCTTTTTTTCAAAGGTTCCAAACTTTTTGGTTAAACAAACCTTTAATCAGGTGTTACTTTTCCTAGGTGTCACCATATCCTGGTGTTACTTTTCCTAAGTGTCACCATATCCTGGTGTTACTTTTCCTAGGTGTCACCATATCCTGGTGTTACTTTTCCCTGGTGTTACTTTTCCTGGTGTTACTTTTCCCAGATTTCACTTTTCCCAGGTGTTACATTTCCCAGATGTTACATTTCCCATGTGTTACTTATCCCTGGTGTTACTTTTCCCAGATGTGACTTTTTCCAGGTGTTACTTTTCCTATGTGTTACTTTTCCCAGGTGTTACATTTTCCAGATGTTACTTTCCCTGGTGTTACTTTTCCCAGGTGTTACATTTCCCAGATGTTACATTTCCCATGTGTTACTTATCCCTGGTGTTACTTTTCCCAGGTGTTACATTTCCCAGGTGTTACATTTCCAAGATGTTACTTTTCCTAGGTGTTACATTTCCCAGATGTCACTTTTCCCAGGTGTTACTTGTCCCAGATGTTACTTTTCCCAGGTGTTACATTTCCCAGATGTTACTTTTCCTAGGTGTTACATTTCCCAGATGTCACTTTTCCCAGGTGTTACTTGTCCCAGATGTTACTTTTCCCAGGTGTTACATTTCCCAGATGTCACTTTTCCTAGGTGTTACATTTCACAGATGTCACTTTTCCCAGGTGTTACTTTTCCCAGATGTTACTTTTCCCAGATGTTACTTTTCCCAGATGTTACTTTTCCCAGATGTTACTTTTCCCAGATGTTACTTTTCCTAGGTGTTATATTTCCCAGATGTCCCTTTTCCGAGGTGTTACTTTTCTCCAGTGTTACATTTCTCAGATGTTACTTTTCCGAGACGTTACTTTTCCTATGTGTTACTTTTCCCAGATGTTACTTTTCCCAGGTGTTACATTTCCCAGGTGTTACATTTTCCAGATGTTACTTTTCCTAGGTGTTATATTTCCTAGGTGTTACTTTTCCCAGATGTTACTTTTCCCAGGTGTTACTTTTCCTATGTGTTACTTTTCCCAGGTGTTACATTTCCCAGATGTCACTTTTCTGGGGTGTTACTTTTCTCCGATGTTACATTTCTCAGATGTTACTTTTCCCAGATGTTACTTTTCCTATGTGTTACTTTTCCCAGGTGTTACTTTTCCAATATGTTACTTTTCTGAGATGTTTCTTATACCAGATGTTACATTTCCCAGATGTCACTTTTCCCAGGTGTTACTTTTCCCAGATGTTACTTTCCCCTGGTGCTACCTATCCCTGGTGTTACTTTTCCCAGATGTTACTTTTCCGGTGTGTTACTTTCCCTAGGTGTTATTTTTCCCAGATGTTACTTTTCGCAGGTGTTACTTTCCCTAGGTGTTATTTTTCCCAGATGTTACTTTTCCCTGGTGTTACTTATCCCTGGTGTTAGTTTGAATGTTTACCACCTGACTATCAGATGACTTCTAGTTTTAGTACTCATTGTGATGTGATAACTGTCTGCTCACAGCATTTCCACGAAAGAGAAACATCACTCATGAAGGCTAAGAGTAAGAAAAAAAGAATTGATTGCACCATGTGAGTAATGTCGTTTGGCAGTGTTCTATAATCACCGTTGCATGCAGCGCTTTCCATAATAGCATAACCCTGTCTACAGAAATCTTATACATTAAAATTTGGTGATGTAATGGCCCCAAAACAATCAAATAGAATAAATGATCTCAGTCATCCTTCTTAGACGATCAGTGTATTAAGATGTTAGAGAAGACAAAATCAGGGTTGTAATAGCTCAGATAATATAGAGTTAGCCTATGTAACCTCAGGTAAATATCAGAGAGGTTTGGTTCAATTCTCCCTAATGATGGCGCTTTGTGTTTCTCAGGAAGCTGAGAATTGGACCAATCTGTGTTGTCTTTGTTTGTATCCTAATCTAATTACTATATAGGACATGAAATTGGCCTCCTGTATGCTGTTCAGTGAGGTAACCATCAGCAACTTCAAAGAGACTCTGCCTCAAAATGACCTTCACAAGGTGAAAGACCAAACAAACAAACATGTAGACATAATCAGCTATGTTATTATAACAATATGTTGTTAATAATTGTATTTATTTTAAACAATTATAAAACATTTCTATTACCATATTTATCCATTGATAAGTCCATCAAGTTTCATGGACCTCATTGGTTTTCATGGACCTTTATGGGCTGTCCTTGGTATCAACTGACAATAATGGTTTGTTTTGTTTTTATTTTGTCCAGTTTAACTGTTTTAACCAAATTTAATTGATACCTTTCCATTCTTAGAGTATACTAGTCCTTTATCGGATAATGATAAACTGTGAACGTTTACATTTTGTGATGTGATTCTATGTCTGTCTATAATGTATTTGACCTCAGTAAATATCATTGTTACACCTGAAATAAGCCCACCTGTTTATATTGCTGTTCAGTAGTATTACATACAAATGTAATCCCCTGACTTGTAGTCAGAATTTCAACATTGGCTCCTTAGACTTGCAGAATAGATCAGAAGTATTCTAGTTAGCCTGGATGGAAGTATGTATGTAGTTTTAATGTAGGACAAACCTAGAGCATTTACCTGGAGAAAACCAAAGTCGGCAGGCAAATTACCTTCTGCTTGTACATTTTCTATGATGATGTTGATGCATGATTGTATCAGCCTAAGATGAAAGATCAAGGACTAAGGTGACAACTTAACCTTTGATTGCAGTATCCATTGTTCCAAGCAAGATGTTATGAGTGGGATGGGGGAGAAAAAACTGAGTCACATGTTGTGTATTCCATCATAAAACTTTTTTTTTCCCCTTTAAATCAAAATGTTACACCTAAACCTTAATCAGTGCTTTTGTCTCAGGCTGTAGGTATTCCAAGAAAGCAGCATGGAGTGATTGTGATCCTGTAACAGGGAAAAAGACAAGAACACTTCAGCCAAAGCCAAACAACCACCCAGACTGCAGTTCACCCAAAGTCCAGACAAAGAATTGCAGTAGGTGTCCCAGAGCTGTCCACTCATTTGTACTATTTTGAAGTCAAAGAACATATCCTATAATTCTGCTCTTTTTTCCACACTCCCTATCTACTCCATTTACCAGTTATTCTCATCAAAGACCTTTGGAGGTCATGTCATTTAGTCTTACCTGAAGTCATATTGGGAAATGAGTTAATCCATTTAAAAATTTTGTGACAACAGAACAGAGGTTGATTGTAATGAATGTCTTATTAAAATCATTTACAGGGAGAAAGACATTAAACTGTGACAATACCAAATTCATTTTGAATTTGAAACTAGTGTCTGGGTATGTGGGCTGAAAGAGTTCAAAGGCAGAATGTGGTCACAGGACATCAGTAAAAGTAAACACATTGTAAGGGTTTTGACTATAACCATACCTATTTGCTTTCCTGTATTAAGGTCAGGGAGTTCTTATAGGGACATACAGTGACAATAAATTTATCAATAAAAGTTACTTGCTATAAAATTTAATCCATGTCTGACCTTTATCTATCTTGCCTTATATAACACAGTGTTTTAATTTCTTGTTAATTGCAGATGTATGTAGGTATGGGGCTGCAGTTGTTGGACAGTGTGACCCAGTTAACAGGACACAGGAAGTCAGAAAAGCACTGCTTCCAGGTGTACCTACAGAACTAAGTTGTGAACCCTTCAAGATCAAGATGAAAAGATGCAAGCCAAATAAAGGTAATTCTGTCACTGTGATCCACCCAGCGGTAATCCAGTCACTGTGATCCACCCAGCGGTAATCCAGTCACTGTGATCTTCCCTGGGATTAACCTGTCACTGTTATCCACACAAGGGTTAACCTGTCACTGTAATCCACACAGGGATTAACCAGTCACTGTAATCCACACAGGGATTAACCTGTCACTGTAATCCACACAGGGATTAACCAGTCACTGTAATCCACACAGGGATTAACCTGTCACTGTAATCCACACAGGGATTAACCTGTCACTGTAATCCACACAGGGATTAACCTGTCACTGTAATCCACACAGGGATTAACCTGTCACTGTAATCCACCCAGGGATTAACCAGTCACTGTAATCCACACAGGGATTAACCTGTCACTGTAATCCACACAGGGATTAACTGTAATCCACATAGGGAATTAACCTGTCACCACACAGGGATGTAAATCCACACAGGGATTAACCTGTCACTGTAAACTTTCCTTGGATTAACCTGTCACTGAAATCCACCCAGGGGTAATTCTGGTTCTGTAATCCACATAGGAATTAACCTGTCACTGTAAACATTCCTTGGATTAACCTGTCACTGAAATCCACCCAGGGGTAATTCTGGCTCTGTGATCCACCCAGGGATTAACCTGTCACTGTAATCCACACAGGGATTAACCAGTCACTGTAATCCACCCAAGGATTAACCTGTCACTGTAATCCACACAGGGATTAACCTGTCACTGTAATCCACCCAGGGATTAACCTGTCACTGTAATTCACACAGGGATTAACCAGTCACTGTAATCCGCACAGGGATTAATCTGTCACTGTAATCCACACAGGGATTAACCAGTCACTGTAATCCACACAGAGATTAATCTGTCACTGTAATCCAGACGGGGATTAATCTGTCACTGTAATCCACACAGGGATTAACCTGTCACTGTAATCCACACAGGGATTAATCTGTCACTGTAATCCACACAGGGATTAACCAGTCACTGTAAACTTTCCTTGGATTAACCTGTCACTGTAATCCACACAGGGATTAACCAGTCACTGTAAACTTTCCTTGGATTAACCTGTCACTGTAATCCACACAGGGATTAACCTGTCACTGTAATCCACACAGGGATTAACCTGTCACTGTAATCCACACAGGGATTACCCTGTCACTGTAATCCACACAGGGATTAATCTGTAGGTTGTAGATTGCAGTGACAGTGATTTTGATCTTAAATGCTACTCCACCATCATCAATTGGCTATTCAAATTTCCAATCACTGCATGTCCATACTTCTGTAAACAAGTTTTGTTATCGTTATTTCTTGAGAAGTACTGGATGGATCTCTCTCAAATTTCATATGTTGGTTCCACTTTGTCTCTAATTGTGCCCATTATATTTTGGAACTGATCACAAAAAGAAAATGGCATCCAGGAGACCATCTTAAATTTGGCTGTTTAAGATTATCCCTATTTCTGCAAAGGATTAATGTTCAATTTTTTATCATTAAGAGCAAAAGCAGAGAAGAGAAATGAAAGGATAAGATCCAACTTTTAAAACACTTGGATAGATTTCATTCAAATTTACTCTGAATGAACACTAGGAAGGGCAATAGATGAGGTCGGGTTTTATCAGGGACTTTTAATCTAGTGTTTATTTTTTGTTTCAAATGGGTACACTTTACATTGGCTAACTCCTCGGAATGTTTGATTCTCAGAACACTTTTAAAGCCTTTGGACCTTCTGTTTTAAACCAGATTTTATGAGAATTGGAACATTCTTTCAACTGTGAAATGATTTTTTTATTTTTTTTTTGTTGCAGCAAATTTAAAGTGCCTTTATGGCAAGCGCATAATTGGAGAGTGTGACAGGGCTACAAACACTATGTTGATCACCTTTCCACTGCTTCCAGGACAGAACCCCAGCTGTCCAGAAAAGAGCAAAACCAAGCCATGCAAGAAACCCAAGAGTAAGTCAACTTCCTGTGATTGTTTTGTTGCCACTTCCATTGGGGGAACATAGTGTTACCCATATTTATCCTCCCTTCAAAATGTCAGCTAAGGATCAATAGATCTGGTGGATTTATAACATTGAGCTCTATCCCTAGTTAGATTCTGATCTGCTTATGAAAGATCTCTATTTGTTGTCGTCAATGAAACCTTGTGAAGATAAATTTTAAGTGATATTGGCTTTATGTATTTTCAGATAAGTGTAAGTACGATAAATCTGCTGATTGGGACATCTCAGCTTGTCCTCAGGGAAATGCCACTAGGACCTTGAATTTGAAACCAGGACAGGACACAACATTATGTGAACCAACACGGGTAGTGTCAGTCCGATGTAGAAAGCATGAAAGGAAAATGAACAGAAAGACCAAGAAGAAGGAAAAAAAGAAGCAACGTCGACAGGAGAGGCGTCGCCAGAATCGAAAGGACGCCAGCCCAGGTAGTGCTGGTTTCATTGATGCAAATGAATAGACCATGTACATATATTTAGTACTGTGACATTGTAACCAAGGCTGTGTGTAGGATCCCGACACTAAGATTAGAGAACTCCTCCAACATCACACCCACTCTCTCCAGTAGTTGTTTCAATGTTAGCATGATCATATCCCACTATCTGGGCGAGTGTCTATTGATCAGGAAACTTCACACAGCTTTATGTATATACCATACAATGTCGTATTATAGTTTCACCAGATATATGGGACACTATCTACTACTTAAAAGATATTTCCCTTCAAACCAAATGAGAAGTGAAAAACAGCTTTTCCTGTGAAATTTATTTCTAGAGCTAATTTAGATATATAAGATAAAATATTAACATTGAAAATAACTGGTCCATCCTTTGTGTGGTAAACACTATTGTTTCTAAACCTTCTTTTAAACAAAACTTCAACACAAAAAGTTGAAACTAAGCCCTAGATTTTTAGATATCTTTTGGGAGCAGATACTTCTTAACCTGAAAACATTTTAAAGCTTATATCAAAAATCTTGTTGTTTTATATTTCAAAGTCTTTTAATGAGATTACATGTCATCATTTTCTAACTGAAGAGTCAATGTCCGTTACTGTATCACATCCCTGTTGATGCTTCTCACACTGTTTTTATCATACCAAAAAGTTCAAGCAAACTATTGGTCTACCATTTCATATTGGTGCTTAGGCATGGATGTGACTGAAATTCCAAACAGCTATAGGCCGGCCAGTTATAACCGTACATCTATGTAACAGAAAGTCAACAGAAGGTGTTGACTGATCAGCTGTTTTAATGGTCCTCACAAGCTATAGACTGACCAGTTATAACTGTACTTAGACATCTATGTAACATAAAGCCTACAGAAGGTGTTGACTGATCAGCTGTTTTAATGGTCCTCACAAGCTATAGACTGACCAGTTATAACTGTACTTAGACATCTATGTAACAGGAAGCCTACAGAAGGTGTTGACTGATCAGCTGTTTTAATGGTCCTCACAAGCTATAGACTGACCAGTTATAACTGTACTTTGACATTTATGTAACAGGAAGCCTACAGAAGGTGTTGGCTAACCACCTGTTTTAATGGTCCTCACAAGCTGTGGGTTGACCAGTTCTTATTTGTATTTCTAAGCGTTGGCAGGTATTTGTTGGAATATCACCACAAACTGTGGACCAAGCAGCTCTTATTGGTACCTTAGGCATGTAAAGTCTGCATAAGCTATGAGACTATCTGAGCTCCAAGGGGTACTTAGGCATGTGTATTCACCTGTATGCTTTTGTCATTTGCATGGTTGCTATGGGGATGTTATATCAGATGTATGAAAACAATGATAGTCCATGCATTACTGTTGAAACAGAGCATGCAAATGGCAAATGGATTTTTGTGAAATTATCATTTTCTCATGAAGAAAATATTCAGATATTAACCTGTGTGAATGCATGATTAGAACTGTACCTGTTACATTTAAGTGCATACTATAAAGGCCTGCCTTGTAAGCTTAGCTGTTTTTTGTTGGTGTAAATTGCCAGATAATTGTCAAGAACTTTACAACAAGCATCATACGTACTTGTGAAAACTTAATTCATATTATGTTGTTTTCTGAGACTTGACAATGGATGCAATTAACACAGGACACAAAACATAAAGAGAATTTCTGATGTAGACAGATAACATCTGTATATAACAATTAATCATGAGCATGACTCACCACAATGTACTGAAGCAGCATATGTTTCTCTTATTTCAAAATGTGTTTGCAATAAATTCTACTGGTTTTTTGAATACATGATATTTCGTCGTTTTCATTTTTATTGATTATTTTGCTATTGTCATTATCTAACTTTTCGTTATTTAATATATGTCTTATTGTCCATTTAAGCTTCGTAAAACATAAAAATATTTACAAATAATAATGGCTTTTATCAAACTAACATTCCTTTTAATTCTCATACAAATGATAAGTTGCTGAAAATGTCCCTGGAGTAAAAGACCGAGAAGGAAATTTTATTCTCACCGTTTTAAGTAATTGGTTACAAAGTTAAATAATCAACAAAGATCTTACCATCTACCATTAATTTGAAAATTCTATATATTTGTTTTTATTAGGAAAGAAAATTTTTCTGACATATAGTTATCAATTAATTATGATTAGTCTTCCAATCAGGCATGTATTTAAAGTGACTAAATAGTTCGATTTTTATTTCATAACTGACAAAAAGCATTATAAAATTTAAATATCTGTTAAAAGTTACGCGTTTTCTCCTAATTAGGATATTTTAAAGTTTTCATGAACTTTTTATTGAAAACATCAAAAACTTTAATTAAAATATGAGCAACCCAAGACTAATTCATTTCATTATCGTCTGCAAAGTGTAAACAAAGTGTTTGTGCATTCGTGACGTAGAAATCATAACAAAGCCGTAGGTTACAACCAGGGTTCCAAAAGGTCACGTGATGAACTCTGCTGTCTCTGATCAAAACAGCGAATGGTGGAAGACACAGCAATCAGCATTGACCAGTGTTAGTTTAAAGCTGATAATCTTTATCATTTTTTTTCTCAAAAAGTGCAATAATTTTGTAAACAGTCAAATTTTAGATATTACAAAATTTGCCCAAAATCATACACATTGGAAAAAAAATAATGAAATCAAACCATTTAGTCCTTTAAAGAGAAGATGTTGTCCTTGATAACCATGATAAAGATTGATGGGTGAGTGGCTTGTTGTGATGTAGTTTCTACATGATGTTGTTGGTGTACTTATATAGATATAAATGTGTATATATAATTGGTAAGCAGTGTGTTCATAGCTTACACTGATATGTTTGTCATGTTGTTTTTTCTGCAGTACAAACACTGTTAATGAACCATTCCAGAATAGCCAAAATTTTTAACATTTTGATATAGAAACATATTTCTTTGATCAGTATAAAAAGTAATCATAATTCTGTATGATAGGATTTGATCGTCTGGAATTGTTCATACATCTTTTGCCTGTACTCTGCATTTGATATAATTTTGTCTATTTAGCTGAATAAAATAAACTAACACACAACTGTTCATTTTGTCAATTTTCTCGAGCATTGAGCATTTTGTGCATCAGCTTAAATGTCATGAAATATTAAAGAGCATGTTCTGTTTTCCTGCCCAACATCAAGTTATTTAACGCTGCAGTTGATTTCTCAACTCTTCTTCATTAGAACAACAAGGACTACAAATATCCCAATATGTGTCTGTATATTTTTTGGATCAAAAGTCATCAGATGTGTGTATAAATGACCTTGATTTCAAAAAAGAACATAATTTATTGACTGCCATGTCACATGAATGATCAGGTGAGCATTACAGGTCACAGGGACCTTTTGTTTTCAAAACATTGGAACACATAACGAGCATGATTTTATTGAGATGAAGAATGTCACAGTTTGCGTGTCGTGATGAAAATTGGAAAATGCTTCTCTGTACTTGCATGAGAATTTAGATTATGTACCCAGTGAAATAAACATGGATAGAGAAGCTCTCCTGTTGTTGCCAAACAGTTCAGACTAGTTGGATGATGTTTATCATTAACTGATCGAAAATGTCAGTGTTCATTTTAAAAATATGATTGAAGTATGTTGGGAAGCAACAGAACCTCTCTTCAACAGTAAAATGTTCTTCATATGTCACTACGGGAATAGAAGTGTCTTCCCTGTAGTACAATAACACCTGGGTATTAGACACAAAACTGGTTTGTTTTAGTACCACAGAATACCATAATAATATTTAATCAATTTTTCAATACAACTTAGTGCACAAGGTGCATGGTACGTACCTTACACAACCCTAACAAATTAAGACACTGTGGAGTGTTCAGAGAGGAATTAGACAAACTTACCAAGAAGAAATCAAAAGAAGTATCTTATTTGCACTAGCTGAAATGACCAGGTGAAATGACCGGGTGAAATGCTCATTAAGATTGCTGTGGATGACGTACTTCAAAAACACCCACTTCAGATTGTACTTATTTGACAAAAAATTGGAAACAGTTTTCTCTCTGAGGTTTTAATGGCATAAGTTAATTGTAAAGTGAAGATGTTAATCCTGTTTATAATCCTACCATTTGGATTTTGGATTCTAGATGATAGTGTCAATTATAAAATCAACATTTATCTTAACATTAATTAGTCAAAGAGATACACACAATACAAAAGAATGTCATTTATTTTCAATCAGAGCTTTAGTTCAGTTTAACGAAATTCAGTGTTTAACTAAATCCTCCAATCAGAAATTTAAAGAAATTCAGTGTTTAACTAAATCCTCCAGTCAGAGCTTTAGTTCAGTTTAACGAAATTCAGTGTTTAACTAAATCCTCCAGTCAGAGCTTTAGTTCAGTTTAAAGAAATTCAGTGTTTAACTAAATCCTCCAGTCAGAGCTTTAGTTCAGTTTAATGAAATTCAGTGTTTAACTAAATCCTCCAGTCAGAGCTTTAGTTCAGTTTAAAGAAATTCAGTGTTTAACTAAATCCTCCCGTCAGAGCCTTAGTTCAGTTTAAAGAAATTCAGTGTTTAACTAAATCCTCCCGTCTGAGCCTTAGTTCAGTTTAAAGAAATTCAGTGTTTAACTAAATCCTCCAATCAGAGCTTTAGTTCAGTTTAATGAAATTCAATGTTTAACTAAATCCTCCCGTCTGAGCCTTAGTTCAGTTTAATGAAATTCAGTGTTTAACTAAATCCTCCAATCAGAGCTTTAGTTCAGTTTAAAGAAATTCAGTGTTTAACTAAATCCTCCAGTCAGAGCCTTAGTTCAGTTTAATGAAATTCAGTGTTTAACTAAATCCTCCAGTCAGAGCTTTAGTTCAGTTTAATGAAATTCAGTGTTTAACTAAATCCTCCAGTCAGAGCCTTAGTTCAGTTTAATGAAATTCAGTGTTTAACTAAATCCTCCAGTCAGAGCTTTAGTTCAGTTTAAAGAAATTCAGTGTTTAAC